GAGAGGGGGCGGCTGTCCGAAACGCACACCGGACCTGACCAGGCTTATAATCACAAACACCGACTGTCAAAATGCTAACATCAGTCACAATCTGCACAAAAGAATAATATCCCTTCTCCTTCTTCCTCACCCTTCAGTTTTGACAACAGGGAGCCTCTTCTTAAGTTCCTCCTTGTCTTCTGCCCGTAGCGCGTTGAAACCCTTCAGCTGAGCGGCGTTGTATTCAGGCTTGAAGACCAGTTCCTCCCTGCGGCTCACGAAACACGCTGTGTGGTACCAGCGGTCAATCAGACCCAGCTGGGGCTTCTCCGGGTCCACAGTTTTCTTGGATACGCGGATCTGATCCTGGAGGAGAGGCCAGAGGAGGAGATATTGAATGTTACAATATTATAATAATAATAATAATAATAACAACAAGAACTAATACAAACAAATTGACTACTAACCTTTTCTATTTTCTGCTCACAGCCTTTGCACGTGCTGCGGTTTGATTTGGCATATTCAACTGCAAAGTCATTTAGTGTCTTCTCTCCTTTAGCTCCACTCTTCTGGTCCCCTTTTCCTACAAGAAGGAAGTCAAAAAATGTTCATTCCGGTTAACAAAGAGTAATCAAATAATAAAAAACAATATATATATGTATGAGGATAATATTTACCTGAGCAAATTCTACAACAGATTATTTATTTTAACACATGACAGGCAGTAAGTGTATTGATATACAAACATGTGTGGTCACCAGAAGGCAAATACTGTATATGTCAAACATCTGAGATACTACAGTATACAGACATATCTCTATGTACAAATATAAAATGTTATGTTTACTGTTATGATGAACTATTTGCTCTCTCGTTTCCTTGAAAGGACACTGGGGCTGTACATGTTGTGTGCGCTAAAGACATGAGTCAAATGCTAAAAGTCATGTACTGACCTCCTGCAGCTCCACCGCTTTCAATGGCCTTCTTGACCTTCTCCTGGTCTTCCCAGCGGAGGTCAGAATACCCGGCAATATCAGTAGTGGACTGAGCTGCTGCTCGCTGCCAGAAGCAAGAGAAGTGGTGCCAGTGGGGGACCTTCCCATCAAACATGGGGGACTGCAGAAGAAACAGGGGAGATTTAATGTATAAAGTATGTTTACAGTGAACCAATGTTGACATGGGACGAGACAAATGTGAGACGATCTTGTGGTGGAACAGACCCATGAATGGTGTGAGGTAAAATCTCTATTTTGTATGATTCATTTACTTTTTTATGATATAAAACAGATATTTGTGAACAGATTATTCCTTATGCATGAGGAATGATGCTCCTAAATTACATATTGTCTCATAAAAAACAAATATAGTGTAGAACTTTATGGGAAAGAGTCAGTTACACTATGAACCTCCATATAAGGGTCAAACTAATGAAAAAAGTCAGTTTCCTGTTATATTGCTCATTATGATGCTGATTGAACAGCTATTCTTTAAAGTATAATGTCCTACATGTCAAATGATTTCTTCTAGAGAATAGATGTGTAATGTTATTATGTAAGAAGATATTAATACTTGTGTGACAATTGTTGGCTACAGCAATGCTATTTCAGGGCTCTTTAAGTCCACGTGGGCTGGGCACTTGTATGAGCATGACACAATAAATAAATAAATAAATAAATAAATATACTACTTCTACTATGAGGAAGAATGGAAATACTCTCCAAACAAACAACAAATATCCTGTATATAGCTGTTTTATATAGAAAACAAACACAGATTCTCTATAAATGACCACAAAAAAAAAAAACTTAATAATACTTAAAATGTCATAAGCATGCTGAATTATGTTGAACATATTGATCCAGTTTGGCCTTTAAAGTTAAAAGTCAAGTGACTGACAATGTGGAGCTGCTCCACAGGCCGTGAGGAGGAGGCTGACTCCGTGCAGCCACATAAGGAGGTTTCTTATTAGCCTCTTAGTTAATTAATTCTCAGTGGGGCAGCAGACAGACTTTACATCGTGGTCAGGAAGCTGTCGTGAGCTTTGGCTCCTGAAGGGTTGACGCAGGTTATTGTTTTTTAAAATATAACCTGGAGATGCATTAAAATGTGAGCGAGCCTCAGTGTCCACGAACAGCAGCATCACAGACACAATCCGACATCAAGAACAAAAAAAAAAAGCTCATCGGCTCTTTGTGAACAAGACACAATGTCAGCCATTTAAATGCTAACGAGGGCCTAACCTCACACAACTGCACCCACACTGTCAACTACACACTAGCATCCTCTAATGGGGTGATTATTCGCCACTATATCGGCGGAATAAACCACCCTAATGTAGAAAAAGATGGCAGTGTGGTGGTAAGCCAGCTAACAGAGCGGGTTTCTTCGGATGGGCTGCCTGCAGACGTCGCTACGTTACCTGCACCATGATGGCCATCCTCAGCGAGTCTTTCGCTATGTTTTCTTTGCATTTCTTGCACGACGCTCGGCCGCTTTTGGCATATTCCGCTTTGTAAAGCTTGTCCTCCTGAGAGTCGGCCATGCTTCTACAATATTGCTGCTGGATAAAAGACGGACTTGTGTGAGGGCGGCGAACTTTCTCCGGATGACGAAGAGCCACAACAATCAATGCACAAGCAGAGGAGCCGAGCCCGCGTGCTTTGCACGACAACACGGGCCACGTGCGAAGATGTCTCACTCTGTCGCTGTTTCCTGAAAACCTAAACTTCACCACAAAGCAGCAGCAGGGGCTGGTCTATAGAGATATTCACGGGGTGGCAAGAGGGGAGACTTTAAAGCTGCAGTAGGTTAAGTTTTTATAAAGATTCTTGTGTTCTGAACATTGACAGTGTATAGATTGGACAGAGCTTCTGGGTCTGTGAAGTGATGCCAAGGTGGCAGTGTCTTAAAACCTGCATTATATGTAAAGGCCAGCAGGGGGAGCTCCATTGGCTGCAATAACACACCAATACCATTCACTCCAATGGAGAAATGACCCGACTTCTTTTTGGATTTATGAGCTCAGTAAACAGTTTCCTAACAAGTTTATGGTCTCAATCTCTAGTTTAACATCTTCTTTCATACGCATGATGTTCATTTAGTAAATTGTGGTCCAATTTAGAGTAAAATAGACAATGAAGTTGCATATGCCTTTGGCCATGGCTACCTTACGATTGACAGGTCACTCTCAGTGAGTCCGTCTAGCTCAGCGCACAGAACTTAGATCAAACTGTCAACCTAAGCAGTGCTGATCAAATCTTAATCAAGATTCTGTAACTACATTGCCTATTTCTCAATTACAATAAAATGCCGAATTCAAGGCTTCAAAACGGTTCTCCACAAACCACTGGGTGACTTCATGATAGGTTCACACTTAGTTTGAACAGTAGTACACAAGACAAATAATCTGTGAAAACTCAGGTTCCTCTGGCTTCTTCTAGTGCTCCTAATGACATTTGCAAGAATCCCCTCAGGGTTAGAGGCTTGGCAAAGATTGACTGTTGAGTCTTATTCCCAGGGTCCCAAAACATCTGTTTCTGACAACCTGTGAATGAGCCTCAGCAACTATCTTTCCCGGCTCTGACTGGTTGCTTTTGTTCACGCATGGTGGATTCTTGCAAATACCACAGGGAGCGCTAGGACGAGCCAGAGAAACATGACTTAGTCACAGATTATCTATCTCATGTACTACCACCAGGATATAGTGAAAGGGAAATTATGGGGGCCACAAAACAATGAAAACACAAAAGGCCCAATCCACAGCCAGTGTTAGACCAATATATAGATTGGTACCCTGAACACACTCTCCTCATTCATTAACTACTCAAGCTGTAGACTTGAAACTTGGACTTGAGTCACAGAAATGTGGACTCTATAATTAAAACTTGAGACTCTAAAGACTTGACATGAGGCGCAAAAGGACAAATATATTAACTCTCAAATTTTGGCACTGGAAAAAATCCTTAAACAATTAAGAATACAGCAAAAAGACTGAAATAGGCATTCATTGCATAAACACACACCTTGAGTATTTAATTTTGGGGTCCATGCATTGAGAGGGTTTTCGGCTGTCAAAAGCATAAACAGTAATACAGCTTGGAAATAATTTCTATGATCATTCAGAGACCTTAAAGACTTGCAACTGACCCACAGGTTTTCTTATTATGATTTGTGACTCAACTTCACAGGCTGACATGACATTTTTGACTTTTGACTTTTCCCTGAAAGATTTAAAATAGTTACAGTATAGACTGCTGAGCTACATAAACAAAATGCAGTAGATCTTTTGATTTTATTGCTTTTAGACAATAAATCATCTTAAATCAAAATATATTAAATTAATTCTGTTTTTCTCCCCTTATATATGTTGTTTTTAAGACACATAAACAGCATTTAGAGAGACATAATCTACAGAAAATATAACTGAGCAGTTAATAAATAACGAAATAATGTTGTAGTCCAATACTTCTTATAGGAGTGGGATGGCTTTTGGACAATTTTTGACCTCAGTATTTCTGAAAATATTGATTCCTGCTACTTGTGGCAGCTCAAACTTTGCTTCAGTCATATTTAAATGTCCTATCTGAATATCATCGTATCTTTATATATATTCTTCTTACTGTTGTCTCAGGGCTATTAGAGGCCAATTGTACAAGCTGAACCCATTTTTCCAACTACGGAGTGATCCATCTGTCCGATAGACGATCAAGGAGTCGGCTGCAGAACACCCGCGCGAGTTGCAGGCAGAACTAACAGAGTTCAGAGAAGTCGATCAGATACTGAAAAGAAGGAAAGTTGGAAGCACTAGGAGCACTATTGGAAGTATTTTAGTTTTTTAAGAACTAGACCTGTTTTAGATTTGTATTCCAGATAAGAGACTCGTCGGTTTATGGTAAAAACGGAATAAAATCTATAATCAGTATCGAGTCCTGTCTGCTGAAGGAAATGGTCCTTGTTGGAAACCCAGTGAATGCATCAGAATAAATCATGTGCACAATTAAAAGGAAATAACACCACTCAGGTTTGTTGTCAGTACTGGTTTTATCAGCAGAAAATGTAGACCATTTAATGTTTTTGTAAAAATTATGAAAGAAAATAACCTACCTACATAAAGTTAAATTACACAATGTTACCATTATGCTGTTACACTACACATTACATTTATAGAATGCTTTTAAACATATAAATCTGAGGTGTACAACTTACATGGGTGAAGACTTTTGATTAACATTTATAACGTTTTAAATAACTAAGCTATCCCATAGAGGAGCTTGAAGTCATCCTTCAGCTGAAATATAAAAAAACATAATAACACATAATAATTTGAAAAGACAAAGGTTTTTTTTATGTCACAGTGACAACATGCATCAGGTCTACAATATAATTACGTTATTACATCATTATTGCACATAAAAACAACCTTCTGTGTCCTTTGCTTTGAGTATACAAGGAGAGGAGTGACATTGGTTTTGGCATAAAAGTTGGTTCAACAGATAAACACTCACACTGTGTTGAGTTTCACGGCTACAATGGGCAGTGAGAGCAAAACTGTACTAGCTACGGCGTGATTGGTCACATTCAGATGTTTCAAAAATCTCAAAAATCCACCAACAGTGACGGTGAAATGAAAGCTTAGACATACAACTTCAGTGGGAGCTAATACAGGTTTAAACTATTAATGGAAAATATGAACCTGAGCTGAAATGGATTAATAAATAATGGAACCTCTGCTTGGTGAATTATGTTGATCGAGCAAAATACAGTATTTCGAAAAAAAAAAAAACACTAGTCAGTATTATATAGGCCATTGGTAGTCTATGAGAGGTTGAGCTGGTTGTTTGAGGTATTCTGTGTTTTGGCTTAGAGGTCTGGAGTATTATCCCAGCCAAAAAAAGACAAAAGACATGTTGGCCCTGGTTAATGTCTGTACTGCAAACAGTTCTTATAATGTGTAGATATGGCAATAAAAAACAGAAAGTCTGCCCATAGATGAGTTTCCTTATATGTCAGTTAAGCACAATACAGCCCAAAACCTTTAAGATTTATTTTGGTTGACAGGAAAGCCAAGGAGGACACAGTCATGATGGAAACAGGAATAAAAGCTCTGGTAGGATTTGGATTAGCTTTACCCTCTTCTCTGTTTGTGTGGCAATTTTTTTCATAGTAAAGTATGAAACAGCAAAACCAGTACAAACAATATGGCTGGATTATGTCCTTCTCCTCCTCCTGCTGTCTCCTGACCTTAAAAGTCCCCTCAGCACTGAAGGGTGCAGGGAGTCAGACCGAACCCCCCATTGGTTTCTCTTATCTTTTCCTTGTTCCTGGCCTGGACGAGACCAAACACCACTCCCGCTAGCGTCATGCGTCCTCCTGTCCGCCCCCCAAGGCGGCCTTCTGTTCCAGTGTTGGCTCTCTTGCTGCGCATGGTGCTGATGAAATAGGTGCGAACTTTCCCCTGACGCTCGCTCACCTACAGTGACAGCAGAGATCACAAAGTGTGGTAATCCTTTTCTCAATTATCATCAAGATCTCTTCACAAATATGGTTACAATGCATCAATATCTGCACATTTCATGCATTAATTTCCCCACATTTGAACAGTAATGCAACTCTGTATGTTGCTTCTATTCACCAGTAGATGCCCCCATTGAGTTTCTTTCTACACTTGAGCTGATTTGCTGTTTAAAGCTGTCCAATCCTGATCCCTGACACAAGCATTTCCGGCTATTCGGACTGATCTCAGGTTGAAGTCAACTGCAGCTTTGCAGTACATGTGTTAAGGTAACAGTCTTTTTTACAGCATGTATTTGGACAAAAATCATAGTAAGTTAAAAGTTACTTGGCAGATTAATAATACAAAATAAAATCAACTAATAAATGATGATGTATTTTTACAGGTTCATATATATATATATAAATATATATATATGACCTTAACTAACATTAGCTCCAAATTTACCAGCTTCAGCATTGCCAAGTGATAAACACATTAATGTATCAATAATTATAATCCAATAATACATATATATGATTCTGCAATGGGCCATTCTGTATAATGAGTAATCTACTTTTGATACTTTGTCACTGACACTATTATATATACATATTTTGATGCTAAGCTATTTTTGTACTTTTACTGAATTCAAGTACCTTATGTTGACATGCAAAGGGGTTACATTTAACACCACCGTTAGACAACTGACAACATAAGGATGCAATAAAAAGCTTGTGTTTTTAAAAATAATGATTTTTATGTTTAGTGTACTTCAATGCTCAAGAATGTCAAGACTCGGCTGTGCCAAGTTTCACTAAAGCATCCTTAATGTCATCTCTGCACATGCCTTTACTTTCACATAAGTTAACTTCACCGTATCTTACCAAAGCTGACTGAACTTTGTGCCTATCCAGTAACATCAGTATTTTGGAAGGTGCTGTGTGCACTCAACAGTTCTCCATTTCACTGTATATATGTTTAAGGGCGATGAGAGTAAATTAAACACATTGTGTAACCACCACGAGCAACAGGACGAACAAAACCAGTCTCCATCCTTCGCCACTCACCCCCTTGACAAAGATTTCTCCACGTAGCTCCAAGACAAAACCCCATTCTACCAGGATCCTGCGCGTGGCCTCAGGTACCTGGATGTGCCCGCTCACACCTGTGCTGTCCATTCGGCTGGCCAGGTTGACTGTTGACCCCCAGATGTCATACTGCGGCTTGGTGGCACCAATCACCCCCGCAACCACTGGCCCATGGGCGATACCTGTTTAAAGTGCATCAGAAACAAGTAATTCACTTTAGATAAATAATTTGTATTAAGTCTACGTCTTCGACACAAGAAATCCCAGAAGGTTTATATCAACCATCTATTGTTTATGTGAGTGTGTGTGTGTGTGTGTGTGTGTGTGTGTGTGTGTGTGTGTGTGTGTGTGTGTGTGTAGGAGGTCAGCCACTTAGCCACGTACCCACACGTAGCTGAAAGTTTTTGGCAGAATGCCTGTTCATCTCTTTCAAGGTCTCTTGCATCGCCAGCGCAAACAAAACCAGCTCGCTCAGGTGATTCCATTCATCCATAGATGCCTGAAAGAGAGAGAGAGAGAGACAGAGACAGATGGATGGTTAGATACAGAGGGAGAGAGAGAAGAGAAGGAATGATGGAGGGGCAAATAGTATAATAGTAGTCAAAACAACAACAAAAAAAGAACCCCAGCAGAATGTTGTGCAAGAGGATCTCCCACCTGTCTGTCTGGAGCTAAGCCAGAGGCGGCCATGTAGCAGCTCCCGATGGTCTTTATCTTCTCCACATACTGGAAGTACGACTCCTCCAACAACTTGTTAGAAAGAAAACAGTTAGAGTTAAAGAGGTGAGGTTACACGTCAATCTCTTATAGCAGCTGAGTTATGCAACGGGGAACAATCCCTCTCTCAACAGCATGTCCTGGATTAAACTTCACCGTCTCTGTATTTTTAGCAGCTAAACGGGCACGTGAAAAAAATATTTCTCAGATAGGGAGAATACCACAGAAAGATACACAGATAAAGGTATACTTACAGAAAGATGAATTATAATGCATGTTAAAGGTCCAGCGTGTAACATTTAGGAGGATATTTTTATATATCTAGATGCCACTAAATCCTACACACTGGTCCTTTAAACTTTACTGTTTTTATTTACAATACTCACACATTTTCAGTCCCATACGCACCTCATCAAAGCCAGCAATGATCTCATTTAGAAGTCGGAGGCAGTCCACTCCTTCATGTTTGATCTCTTTCTGCTCAAAATACTCATTGAAGCCAGCGATGGAGGCAAACATGACACCGACTTCATCATAGGACTGGGAGTAAAGCTCCTGAAATGAAACATGGTGTCATACACTTTCATCTTGACTGGGTATTCTTAAAAACACCTTTTTGTTTAACTGGTATATAGACTGATTTATTCAGTATGATATTTATATTTATATTTAGGTAAGAGGTCAACTGTTGTTTAATAGTTTAAATAAATCACAATAATCTGGATAAACATGTGAAGGAACCCTATAAATAACACTTAAAAAGTCCAGTAAACATACATTATAAATCCACTTATATTATTGTCACTATATTTTTGTGCTCCCCTGTTGTTAGAGGCTGGCACAGACACAGGTGAGGCGATGTTTTCTGCACCTCATCGTTCTTGCTCCGGTCTAGAAAATGTCGCGCCACATGCACAGGCAGGATGTTGTGCAATAGACACTCATTGTGTTCCCGCAGTTCCCTCATGTCTTCCACTTCCTGCTGGGCCTGCAGACGCCACAGGAAGTCTAGCCTGGCAGTGGCCTCCCACTGGAAAGTAAAGGATAGATACAACTATCAGAGGTCACCTGCCTGTGTGAGACACACGCCTTTACCCATCTACTCAGTTTGGCAGTCAACAGATTTAGGGCAAATAAAGCTAAACAGCAGCATGGTTAAAACAGTGAGTTTAACAGTACCTGTCGTCCATTGTAGAAGACAGCAACAATAAACATGGCCATGAGAAGGATGCAAATTCCTTTTCTCCTGACATAGTGAGACCTGTGCATATGTTAGTGAAGAGAGGGACAACAAGAGTCTTACAAACAATAAGTAAAATAATTAGAAACATTAATCTTAATGTAGAAAAAAAAACACCTAAAAAACTGAATGTGTGGCCACAGCGTGAGCTGGCACTGACCTGTGCAGCATATCATGGCGTGTGAGTGAGAGGAAGGTCAGGTGGATGAGGTAGGAGTAGACGGCCATCGCAAGTAGCAACACCGCCAGCTTCAGCAGAGAGTTTAGACGCAGGAAGACAGCACAAGTCACCATGGCGATCACACCACTCAATACAAACGCCTGAGGAGATAGAGTGAAGAAGAGGTTAGAGACACTGAAGAAGAATGTATTTTCATCACTTTCTTAAAGTTATAAAAATGGTAAAAAAGAATGACTGAGGTACGTTTTAGTCAAGAAAATGTGATTTAATGTATTTAATATGAAACCAAACGCTTGTGATGACAGATATTGCTTGCGTGTATGTTTAAACTGCTGCTGTCCGTACCTCGGGGTAAGTGCAGACGGTGAGTGGACGTGAGGCTGTGTTGGTTTTGTCCACTACATCAGTCTCTCCTGTGTCTGTGAGAATGCACCATAACTGGACACAAAATATACAAATTACATAAAACCTTTGACAACTAACAAAAGACTGAGTCACGAGATAACAGATACACATTTAGTCTCTGTTGGTTTTTACATATTGTGGCTTTGGCTTCAACTGCTAATCAATATCTGGAAGTGTAATTAGGTCATCATCTGAGGCACACTTTAACTGTCAGCAGGGTGCACACCTCTCTTCTTTACTCATATACATTTAAGGGGGATCATGCAAATAACAGAAGAAGATATGATAAGACTGGATTTACCAAACGTAATAAATGTTATATGCAGGGTCCAATTTTATGTGGCAGAATAAACTTTTTTAAATCAATATTTCGGTGCATATAAATCAGGCGCTGTGTTCTTTAGACTCTCACCATGTCAGTAGAGACCAAGCCAAAGTTGATGACGATGGCGGTGAGGGTGAGGAGGTTACGGGCACTGTTGTTTTCATGGATCCAGCAGCAGAAGTACTGCAGTGCTGCAGGAGTGCACTTGAACTCTTCAGCCAAGGCCAACAGCAGCAGCAGCATGTAGGCTAGCAGGAAGATGGAAAACTGGAGGATGGCTGGGAGCAGCCTGCAGAGGAAGAACATGGGAGGAGGATAAGAGGCAGAGGAAGGAAGCGAGTAAAGTAGTGAAAATGTTGTGTGACATGTGCACTGGAAAAAGTGTGAATTTACGAGGGTGTTGGATGAACTTGAAATCACATTTCATTCTCGTTACTACCTCCAGATGGCACCAAAGTAAAAAAATTAAATCCTACACATAGTGACTTTAAAATCAGACAACCTGAGCAGAAAATGTATAGTCAGGTTAAACCAACATATGCTTTCATTTAGAAAAAGCACAATTTGATATCGCTCAGAATCTCTACAAATTTGTTTTAATAAAGAATGGGTCGGATTTGAACCCATGGTCGCTGCAGCAAGGACTCTAGGGCGCCCCAAATGTCTAGCTTTAAATAAAAGAAAATAAATGAACAATTCAAATCTGATAAACCCATAAAAATGTAATTAACAAGTTCTAACAATGTGAGCTTTGTAGGTGTCTTCCTACCTGGGGGCAGGAATAAGGGCCTGAGCAGCCATGAGAAAGAGGAGCAGGATGAAGGAGCAGACCAGGTTGGAGTTAAACATTTCATCTCTCATCTGGGAAAACTGGACCAACCAAAAGAGGTCAAACCAAAATCACAGTCAGTATCATTTACTCTGCGGCAATATCTAATTTCCTGCAAACAAACACCCTTGGAACCAATGTTTACACTTGCTTACCTTGTCTTCTATGTGCGTGTCTTTGAACACCAGGGTCAGTGGAGTGATGTGCTCCCTGTGCATACGATCACTGCTCTGAACCTCAATGGCATGTTGGATGCGTTTGTTAATCTCCTTGGAGGTGGACTGCCATATGTTGGGCAGCGAGCCGTTGGTGAAGGAGGCCAGTATCTGCAAAGAAAAATTAAAATACATGATTGTGTCTTTGTCTCATATGGTTGAAGAACTTAAGATATGTTATATATATATATTACAAGTGAAACGTTTTACTGCCTAACAATAGTCATCCTGCTGCACCTACACTGTTCATGTCAATGACGTTCCCAAGGGGTATCTCTGGGTTCCAAGTTCGATTCGTTTTCTGGATTTTGGTGGGCACGATAAGATCAACTTGGTTCCTCTCCTCCTGAGGGCAGATGAGGAAAGTCTCGATGTTGTGTTTGAGCAAAAACTCGCTCCTGTCACGGCCATGACCATCTTCTGTCTTGTAGGTGCCCTCTAGACAGTCCCGAGTCGTCCTTGAGATATGGATGCGTCTGGATGAGAGCAAACAGAAGCAGAGAAAATTATCTCTCTCTCTAATTATTTACAGACTTTTCTGTTTCAATATTTCTGAACAAAAAGTGATTTGGATCCCAGTTAAAAGCAAGAAGGCAATTTTCAGTTTCAGTTTTATTATATGAAATAACAACGGCTTATCCTAAGTATAATATTTTTGAAAATGTATAGATTCTTTAAGTCAGAACATGACAAAAAATGGAAAAAGTGAGATAGAGGAATAAAAGCAGAATCTACTGGGCTTCACATAAATGTATGTGGTAATCTAGGCAGAGATCAAATGTTGTACATCAACTTGGCTTGTCGCTGGTACCAGCAGAGACCACTCACCCTGGTATGCCCCCGGCCTCCAGCATGTTGGCAATGCCCACGTCCCAGGACCAGACATCAAACTGCCATTTCTGCAGGCCCAGTACCCCACACAGGACAGAGCCAGAGTGGATCCCGATCCTCATGTCCATGTCAAAGTTCAGCTGCTTCCGCACGGAGCTGGTGTTGAAGAGCAGTAAAGTGACCAAAAGTTGTATATGTTTAATTTTTTACATAATTCTCGTATTGCCCTCTCCTCCAAAATAGTGGAATTAAATTGATAATTGAACTCAAGAAGCAAGGTAAGACTGACCGTATGGTGTTGATCATAGCCAGGCCCATCTCGACACAATGACGGGCATGGGCACGCTGTGGCTCAGGGACCCCTGACACACAGTAATAACAGTCTCCCAGTATCTTTATCCGCAGGCAGTGGTGTTCCTGCGATGAGAAGGAGAAAAGAAAAAAATAAATTATTGATGGAATAGAAGTTGTGTCAAGTATAAATTATCTCAAAACAAAAAAGGAGCTTAAAGTCTCACATCTGCAAGTCGGTCAAAGCGTCCAAAGAGCTCATTGAGGGTTCGGACCAGATCCTGTGCCGACAGGTTCATCGACAACAGAGTGAAGCCTTTGATGTCTGCAAAAAGGATGCTGCAAAGAGGAGAGGGAGTTGGAATAGAAGTGGTACACTATCAACATAGAGATTTGTATTTAAAATAGAAATTCCTTCTAACTGTTTGGTTTCTGTGAACAAATGCAAAACCAAGTCCAGTAGAATTACTAACATTAAAATAAGAGCCATCCATGAGGAACTTATTTCCTAAGGCCTGGTAAATACTAACGTATTAACATTATGTGTGTGTACCTGACGTCTTTGTACTGGTGAATATAGATCTTGTGAAACTCGTGAGGACTGAGTTCATCTTCCAAAGCGCTCATGTCAGCAATCATCTCCAAAGAAACAAAGCGAGGCAGGATCGACAGGACCAATCGCTCCTGTGTGGCAAAACAATAAACTCTATATGACAGTGGGTGGTTTACACAGGGGTCAGGAGAGAATTTACACCTTTTTAATGATTTAAATGATAAATATTGGTAAAGACTCTCTAGGTTTGGAGAAAAGTGATAACAGACAATAGTTGTCAGAATAATACAGTGTCTCTGTCAGCAGTCGCGGTACCTGTCTCTGGTTCTCTTGCTCTAGTCTGAGGCGACCCTCAATGCAGCGCCGTGTCTCCAGGAAAACCTGTCTCTGGGCGTGGTCTGTCAGGTAGTGGATGAACAAGCCAGCTGTGTTCATACCCAGGTACAGCAGGCCTTTGGCAAAAACCTGAACCCAAGAGAGATTTAGCATTAAACAATTAATTTTAACAAAGAAACCTGAATACATGTTGGAAAAGAAGAGGATTAATCAATAGTAAATGGAGTTTTCTTCTTGGAATTAACTTGAGGGATGTCAGAGAGAAATTGTGTTTGGTTTAGTAGGCTTGAAGACAATATCTAGGGCTGTAGATGGGAGTAATAACTGTGACAATAAAAATAAAACTGTTGCCATTAATGGATATACAATATAGGCGTAGAGTAACTTTAGTATCAGTTATAAAAACTGCAACACAGGGATAAAACATGGCTTGTTCTGCATAATATTCTGGTGTAGAAACATTTTACACTTACACAAGATTTGAGAATTGGGAAATGCTTAGACAAACATTACATTAAAGAAGGAGGTTAAACACGCTTCAGCTGAGTCATAAGGAAAAAGGCCTGTCTGGTGCTCTCAGAGTAGGGCAATGCTGAATCAGGGGAAACTTCAGAGAAATAGTCCAAAGTATGCTGGAGCACACAGAGTAGGGCAACAAACTCCATTGAATGGCTAACATTTCTACATCACAGTGGACATTACATTATCAGTTTGTGTTTTATTAAGCCTGACCTCTAGTTTATTAGGATGTGGAACATAAAACTGGGCAAGATATAAATACATATGAGACAATCCAGAAAACTTAGCTCAGGGGGAATCTTATCTAAAAGCTAAAAGCTTTGTAGTATAGCATTTACTTTGACATTAAAGTAAAGGGATGTCTTTGATTTTATAATGATGAATTAATAAACATTTCCGACATAACACTTTGTAATATTTTTCTGGGGACAATGTTTTCAAAAAACAGTTTAATCAGTGATTTTCTCACCTTTCTCAAGAGCATTGCATCATTGTAGTAGCGCACTATCTCCACCAGTAGGTGCAGTACTGAGGTGAGGGAGCCAGCGCACATGGCCCACAGAAGAGGTAACGGCAGCAGCGTGTATGTGGCAAACAATGAGAACAAAACATACCACGATGGGTCTTTTTCCAGTCCATACACCAGTCCTCCCAGCACCTGTGTGGTCTGCGACAGCCAGCTGGCTAGGCCAGCGTAGTGAAGCCACCGTGGGGACACGGAGTCTTTGCAGGTTAACACTGTGACACACAGTACAATAGCTAACATCATGAAAATGCCTGTCAGGCAGCCACGCAGAGTGTCTGTGACTGCCTCAGGGGCCAGAGCCAGGTACAGAACCAATACGTGTAGCTTGGCCACAGCATCGATTACATTGGTGATGGCTAGAGAGTTGCGTCTTTGGTGGGAGTAGTGTTGCTGGTAGAGTTTCTCCAGGTCACGAGACTTGAACGTGTGCCTCAGGGTGGGTATGTAGACTCCACGAATTGTGTGGCCCCAGTGCACAAAGAAGTCAGCATCACTGGCGTAATCATTAAAAGAACCACTGACACTGTTCTGTGTGCAGGTGGAACCACGGGCCTGGGAAGGGTGCACCCTGAACGTGGAGGAGCGGCGTTTTGTGACCCCGCGTAAGGACTTGTTGCGGATTTGTCTGTTGATCTCGTCCATGTAGGTATCCGTCACAAATATTTTACGTGCTGGCTCTACACCCATCTGTCAAACACAACAGAAAATCTGATTAATTTATTGTAACAACATGCACGTTTCATGTTGGCCACTTTAACAAGAGACCAGTAGGCTGAAATGGGACAGAAATTGATTTATGGTGAAAAGCAAACTTATTGTGGCCACTTAGAAAGGAGTTGTCTATTTATCTACAGTGTACAGTTTTTAGAAAATCATTATTGAATTGTGTTTTGGACATTGACCTATGAGCAGACGAGGCTTTATAAAACTCTTTATGAATGTTTATAATCATGCATGACAACTTATAACAAGTCGTAATAACAATAATAGCAATAATGGATATAATAATTAATTATAAGTTCACATTCATAATGCTTTATACCTCAAAGGCAAAGTGACAACAGTGTTTGAAAGACAAATCTGAGGCCTGGGTTAAACAGTACATTATAACTACCATAATGTTAGCCAGGTATAAAGACACAGAGAGAACTGCTCCAACAGATTAAACATTTCTGAAATGGAATACGTTTCTGGAATAGAATAATGTCTATAAACATCAATAATACACTATAGCATGACTTTGTGAGCTGGTTATTAGCAATTGTATAATACTATAACAAACTTATGGAGGACCTATGAGCAGTGTTAACTTGCTGTGAGTATGAGTAAGACAAAAGTAATTCACAATGATCATCATGGCCATCGTTATTTTCCAAAACACACTTCACATTTTAACTAGAAGGGCACTCAGAGGGTGCAGACAAGGTCAAGGTCCTCTGTCCTCCTCCCTCTGCTACTCCAGATTTTAATGAAACTTGAAGGAAAGGTTTAGCATTGGCCAAGAAAGAACCAGTTGAATTTTGGAGTGTATGCAGATCACAGGGCAGATACAAGAATATTTTTCTCACTTTCCTCTTGCATTCATGTCTTATGAATGTGCTTATAATGCATTATAGACATGGCCTTCATAGTGAAAGTGTTACCAATGTTTTTTTTCCATCTGTAAAACAAATGAAAACAATAAAGTTTTGGCAGGATCATTTTTATAACCTGGCAAACTTTTTTCGTTGGAGTGGTGACATATTGCAAAATATTGGGCAAATACTGTAAAACTATTTACCATTTTACAACATAAGTGAAAGGGTCATTTGGATGCACTGGCCGTTTAAAGTAATTCTACAGTTAAATTGATTGAATCTTTCATTACTGCAGTGGCCCAATAATTCACGTTAATGCTGTCAATGCAGACGTCATGTCTGTTCCAGTACACACAGTCCGCATAATGCTGTAAGGGAATATGTGCAAAACAATAACCTACATCTACTGATGACTGTGGGATAATCAATCACCTGGGCGCTGAGCTCCTGCTGGATAATGATGTGTTTTACAGCATTCTGCCACAGCCTCTTTTTCCGCCGCAGTCCAGGGGACAGGCTTGCGGTCAGGCAGGTTGGTTCTCGCAGCTCCACAGGGGAGACCTGTGTTGTATCAGCAAAGGTCACCATGGTGATGACCTTAGCTGACCTCATCTGTTTGTCTTAAATCAGGAGAAGGCAGCAGCCTGGAGAAATTGATGGAGGTGGAAAAAAAGGGAAAACATGTTGGTTAGTGATGAGTCAGACTTGCTCCGGGTCACAATGTGCTTTTCTCACTCTATCAACATAATGAACATTCATTCTTAAAGGGACACTCCACCAATTGTATCCATAAACTAGCACTGGGTCGTACTACTAAGCCTGTGAAAATAGCTTTATGATGTCCTCCATGGCTCTGGAGGAGCTGTGTCAAGAAAATAACCTTGATTATGTCACAGAGTTATCTCAGATTGGGCTTGGAGACTACAAATTTATAACAGAAAGTCTTTGGATCATACATTTTTTTGTCTCCTGTGAGTCTCCCAGCTTCATGGAAGTGCAATATTAAATACCTGGATTGTTCCTTTCAGCCTGTGTGCCCAGTACTGTACTTTTACTAATTTTGTAACAGACAAAGGCAAAGAACATGCGACAAATTGAGCTAAATATCATAATTTCTGGTTTTATCTAAACATGGATACATGGACCATCCTCAGTGTAAAGAAGGCCCAATTAGATTTAGTCAGGATTTATTTTTATTATATACAGAAAAAATGTACAACTTCCTTGAAAAGCTATGAAACATATTTGTTTCCTTTTTGATGATTACTGGTTTGAAATAGTAGTTTATCCTCCTCATTTACCACTGCATCATCTCTACATCTTCCATACTGATGCTATCTGTTGTGTGGACTTATTTTGAATACTGAATTATTATTATTTGTGTGTAAATATACAGCAATTAATTTTATAGCTTTTGTGGCTCCTGATATGATCTACCACTTGGGCCTCACAGGGCATAAGTCCAAATAAATGCATCAAGATTTATGTGAACAGGTCTGGTTCTGCTGCACACATTCAGCATGTTGGATAGAACCAGGCTCCACATGTTGACACAGTGTGTGCCAGAAGACAGGCAGCTTTCCAGCAAATTATCTGGTAGCCAGATTTAGACCTGAGCTGGTTAATGCCCAGAGTTTAACTCCTCCAGGTCCTTCTGGCTCTAGCTGCTGCTCTCCCACGCACTCACAGTCCACAATCACCAGTCTGATTCTCTCCATGTATCCACACTGCACAGACTGGATATAATAAAACACATCATATAAGGAGAGTCACATTTTTAATTAAGGCTGTGTTATGACAGCTACAAATATTCACCCTGTAAGAAAATGCTATAATATGGCAGCATTTTATTTTATCGACTTCCTGACTTGTTGTTCTCCGCTGTGAAGGGATTACTTCTTATTCTGTTGTCCAAATGACAATTATAACACTCAAGAGTAAACAATATCAAAATAACAAAAATGTTTTTATCACATTTGAATTAAGGCTACTTGTATGATACAATCTGCACTTATTTAAGGAGAAAACTTTACCTACTAGATCCATAGAGAAGAGCGAAAGCCTGAAGAGGTCAAAACTCCAGTAACACTGGTAGTATAAAGAACAATTTTACTGTAACCTTTCATCAGGGGTTATGTAACAGCACCCTTAGGTGATTCAACATCAAGGTTATCCTGATGAAGGCTATTGCTTTGTAAAAACAGTTCCAAAACGTACCTGTATTCTTTTACATATTGTGTATCCGCTCCTCATGTCCAGCAGTTGCCATATATCTGCTCTCAGCCCGTCATAATCCACTTTTTCCATCTCACAGGAGGCAAGTGCAGATCTGAAAATTAAGGCATAATCCATGAAAGGGAAAATGAAACTTGAAGTAGTCCCCACTGTGATGAAGAGTCTCAACCTGATGAAGAGAGGGGGATAAAAAGGTCCAGTCAAGATGTGTGGAGTTGTTCTGGCTGGGTTGTAAGGTCACCACCTGGACTGTTTTGAAATGAAGTCAACAACTGCCACAAAGCAGAGCTACAGGAGTGAGGTGCACAAAGAGGATTACTTAGTCAGCAGCCACTCTCACTGGCCTGCAAAGCTCACAGGCACCAAGACAACGCCAAGATGCAATGCTCTCAACCTTTGGCCAAGGCATCCAAAATGTTCAAAAGCAGGGCTGACACTTAAATTAAATAGTATGCTTTTTTTATACACTCTCTTTTTCATTTCCCTTTACTCTACTCTGGATTCTGACGTCATCACAGAAACTGAAAGCAGAGTTGCTGCCTGCTGGTTATGTCAGTATGCAAATGTACAATTACAGGCATAAGGTCAAAAACATCACCTAAAAGCCTACAAAACCAGGCAGACTGTGAAAGCAAATAAGATGAATCATCTCCCACTTGGTAACAGCACCCTGAGGTGATTCAACAGCAAATGGACACTAATGAAACAGCCTTTATTCGGCATTTAAATTCAGGTGTTTCTATGAAGGCATGACTTGCTGGCTATTACTCATGCTGAAAAATAGAAGCATTTTTGTATGTTTTATTGTATTGTAAGCAACTGCATGAGCTTTGGGATATTAAAAAACCCCACTATATCTGATGAAGACTCTTTAAGTTTGCACACAACTTCATCTCTCTCTGTGGCTGCTTCTCAGTGGACTCAGTGGATTGTCAGACTCTTTATGTGTCTCTAGAGGCACACAAGCTTTCTGCCTGTTATTTCTCTGTAAAACACAGAAACTCAAGAGAATCAAAACTTATTTTTATATTCGTCTTCCAGAACAAAATTTGTCGAGGCTGTGCACACTAGATGATTGATTGAATTATTTTCTCTATTTTGTTTCATTAAAGACTGAAAACAGCGTCATACTCTGCTGCTCAGTATTTTTTGTCTTATGGTTGTTCTTATGTTCTCTGTTACGCAAGACCAGGACTAATCTATAACCAAAGCACACATTCTTCACATCATTTGTCATTCAATTGTCTTGAAATTTGCTGGCACGCTGGTGCATCTTCATTATGTTTTTATAAGTTATCCTTCAACAAATGATTTGTATTAAGCTACTCAGATTCACCTGTTATGATAAGGATTTACCTGTTAATAGTATACTTTTGTTGTCTTGACATAATCACGAAATCAAGATATTGAGAATTGTATTAATTGTATTGTATCAGCAAGAACAACAGGTGTATTAAAGCAGACAAACAGACCTCAGTATTAATGTTGAGCACTCACTGGGCTGATAGCATCACCAGGCCTGTGGTCCCTGTGGTTGTAAGCTGGTTAAAGTTTTGGAGACTTGCTTTTCTAATTGTGTCCAGGCAACGCACAAGGCCCCTAAGGCTGATCTAATGAATTCCCATCTGTCCTCCTGTAACCGCGTATCTCAGACCTTTCTCGCTGATTACTTTACATCTAAAAATAGCCGCCAGGTCTGAGGCAATTAGCTCTACTATAACTGCTACCACATCAGCACAGCCCTCTGACACTTGGCAAGCATTCAATAAAGCACCTTTGAAAATGTTCAATGACAGGTCACTGTTACTAGACACAACAAGAGGGAATGAGTAAATTGTTTAAGATCATTCTGATGCAGCCCTTTTGTTCATTATGAGCAATTCAACTTAATGCCAGTGATTGTCTCTCAACTGTTCACATACAGCCTGTAATTTCATTTAGTGACTCTATTTGGAGTTCCTGTCAATTTGAGTTCACCTGATGGAGGGGTTAGGATGAATTAGTCTGCTAAGGGCAAAACCCCAGAAGCTAATTAGTATTAAGGCTAACCGCTTTGGCTGTCCACTAATCAGCTGATTCTCATAAGCACTCAAGCCAACCCAGCAACAGAACCAACCTTGTGGCCATACATGCTTGCCAAACATTCCCCTTGCTGCGCACACAGAGATCTATTTGTGTCTGATGGTGTGTAAGACTGCCCTTGGATGGTGAATGCATGCTAGCTTCTGCTGGCAGTCACACAGAGCTCTTGAAAGTGACGGGTACAGGTCAGTTAGGGTCAAAGCAGAGACTGTCCTAAACCTTCTCCTATTGATCACACCGAATTTTCAATATGTTGTATTAAAAAAACAAACGGATTACAAGACAATAGTCTCCTGTGTGCAAACACGTCAAAGACTCCTCCTACAGAGCAATCCCCTTCCCCAAAGACAGAGAGCCCATATGGCATTATGATAGTAAGGAGCACTAGGCCAAAAAGCTCCTTATTACCTTGTAGGAGTAAATTCTCCCTTTCAAGGTGTATGACATCTTAAAAAGTGATTGTAAAGGCTATTTCTTGAGTGTTTCAAGAGGAGTCCTTAGCCTGTCTGACACATTTTTTTAAAATAACAATCATATCACAGAGTCACTTGCTTTGGACCCCTTCACCCATGTATTGTCCTGTGTGTGTTGTCTCTTCTATTTGTATTTTTCCCATTTATTTATTAGGGACTAGGGATGCAAATTAGGAGCTTTGCTATAATCCGGCATGTTTACAGAGATGTTTAAATATCGTTCATTAATGTGCACTGTCCCTATCCAAAAATAAAGCATTTATTATTATTATAATATGTACAGTTTGGTAATCCATCCATACAATACAATATAATAACTACTAGCAATATATCTAGAAATGACAGCCTCCCAGACCCCCCTTTCTTTTGAACTTTAGCCTATTAACTCAGCATAACTAAGGTGGTGTTATCCCCTTTTTAAAAAGCTAACACACCAACCACCTAATGGGGGCTGAACAGATAAAGAGATGCCCCAGCATGGACATGACCATGGACAAAAATACTGTCACATGAAAGACTCAGGGCTTAGTGAGGTTAAAAGACCCTGGGAATTAAAGGCCTTAGCGTGCTAAGTGGTCCACTGAGAAGTTTAGTCTTCAAAAAATGTGGCAGACAATGTGACATGTCATGTGCACCAAGTACGATACATTTTCCTACAAAAATACCTGCCCACATTTAGGTGCTTTTATTGCAATGAAACTGTCTTTAGGCATGTTAATAATCTTGGAGATTGCAGACTGTTTTGTTTATAACAATCTCCTATGGGTTTCTCCTGACTCACTGCTGTCACCAACTGGTAGAAAGTAGACTTGTTGCAATCGAGCATGTCCCATCCACAGATACAGCAGCCATACAGCAGCCTACACTGATTATACATCTTTATATACGTTCTATTATAGTCTGATGGTCAGACTGAATTACCTTTTTGTATCACAGACCATTCATTTTTATTCATTCTTGCTTTGCTGAACAAATCAGAGATGTGGGCAGACATTCACAGGGCTGGATGGTTACAGTTCTGCATAAATTATGGTATATGATTAGGGATTATATTAAAGGGAAAAGGGAATTGCAGACTCTAAATGGGTTAGAATCAGCATTCACTGATTAATGAGAAAGAATTGTGTCCTTGACCCAAAAGGTCAAAAGTGGAGCTACAGGTGAAATGGAAATATCCCTGCACACAGTAATTTCATATGGTTTGTATGACATCAAAACACTGACAGTGCTTTTTCATATAAATATAAACTGAATGTATATTACACAAATTTACAAATACCAACTAATGTTTTGTTGACTTTTACAACCAAGGCTGTTGCTTATTTGACACCTCAATAATAATATTCACTGTAACAGTAACACTACCTAATACCCACAATATATAAAAATACATTATCACCACACATACACTCATATTGCTCTAATATTAAACCATTTATTTGGTTAAATATTCTGGCCAAATAATTGTATGAAATTACGCTTATTTTTTCCAATATTTTATCTAGTAAAATATAGGGACAGTGTTGGGGCTCGGGCATGTGTTCAAACATTACTCGGATAAGTGTCCAGTGGTGGGCTGTCACATAATTACAGCGAGCCAGTAACAGCTGGTAGCCCGAGGAACAACAACGGTGGTCGGTCAGAAATGTATGGAGTCCCGGCACAGCTCAACTTCAGTGAAGACGGTTGACGTTAACTGTCCGTATGCCACACATTTTAAGGATTTTAATGTTGTTCGCTTTATGGTGAGTAATGGGCGTTCACAGCAGTTATCGTTGTTCAGATATGCTCAGCCAACAAGGGAGGCTGAGGGAGGGAGAGAGGGAGAGAGAGGGAGGAGGGGGGGGTGCTTCTCGGAAAGCAAGTTAGCTGACGTTAGCATGGTTAGCTGCTAGCATAGACGGATGCTAGTTTGGGTATTATGAGTGGATTTTATAACCGTAATTTATGTCTAAACCTGATCGAAATCAGAGGAAAAACACCGAAAACACTTAGCTCGGCTATCACGAGGAGATAAAGTTAGATTGAAAACCCGTGACAGCTAGTATTGCTAACACCAGCGTTAAATTAATTGAACTAATGCTAACTGTCATAATTTGGACGCGTCAATAAGATGTTACATTAACGTGACACAGTTTGCTTGTCGCTGGTCAGGTAGACCTTCTCACTTCAGGTTCAGACAGGTTCATTTATCAACAATAGTTAGCGCATCGGCTAATTTGGGCATACTAACTTCCACAGGCCAAAGACAATCCAGCGGTTTTCCTGATTTTCAGCGCGCCGGTGAAGACTCGGTTCGGGGCTGAAGTGCCACCCATCTCCCCTCCACTGTGAACCTGGAAGTACAACGCCGCCTTGTGACAAGCATCCAACATGACAGGTGGGCATACTGTTATACACCTGTTCTAAGCCTGGTTACCACCCCTCAAAAAAGTTGAATGGAGGGCAAAACTGAGGACATTAAAACGAGTTGTATAAGCTGCTTACTCCAAATCCTCAGTTCCCCACTGCTCATTGTGAAAATGTACTGTGAGAGAAACCTTGCATCAGTGTTCCAGGTAGCTGTGTGTGTTTGTGTCTTTTCTTGCAGTATTGTACGCGTGAATCTGCAAAGAAATCACTCACCAGACATTTTACATGAGTTGGCATCTGCTGACGGCCACATTCCTTGAACCCCAAGCCCACTGACTGAATGGCCGTCCCACAGTGCCCCTCTCTCCCTGCCTCTCTCCACCCTGTGTCTCCCGGTCTCTCTCGCCCTAGAGAGAGAGAGACTTCGGGTGGATAGTGAGGTCCATTGTGTCAGTGAGATGTTTATTAATGAGTGAGGCACACACAGAAAGCAGAGCTGCTATTGCAGGACTAATCGCTA